CACAGGACCACCCCCCCACCCCCCTCAACCCCGTCCAGAAGATCCCAGGCCTGTCCTAGCATAGGCTCATAACCCTTGGAAGGGACAAGAACCAGAATGGGGCCCTTATGAGATGGGAAACAAGGCAAAGTTGAGAAGAACCTTCAGCCCAAGATACTCTGAGGTTTCTGCTAATGCTTATTATGTACAGTTTAAAAGGATAAATTAGGCTACAACGTTCCTAATGGTGGAGAATCCTCCATCATTGTATCAATCCATGGTCAAATCTGTATTTTAGAAATACTACTTCTAGTATAAACCTCCTCTCTGAGAAACTTAGAACCCAAGGTAATAAGGATTTTACACAAAAGCAAAAGTAATGTAGAAATTTTAAGAAAGGACATCCTTATTTGCTTAATAACATGTGAACATAAGAGAACATTTTAAGATGACTTGTTTAGAGTATATCACGTGTAGCGCTTGATTTGTGAAATGCTGGCAAGCAATTAATCTTTAAGGCCTATGATTCTATATATTTAAAAAAACTGAAATGTGCAAGGCATTAATTTTTAAAAAGTGGCAACTGCAAAGTGCAGCCATTTTTTTTTTAAGTTTTAGTATAAAATAGCCTAGGAGCCATCCTAGAGGATGAATAATATATGTTCCCTCTGAAAAATAGATTTATTTATACACACACAAACACTCTCTCAGCCAATAAATCAGACTGACTTGGAAATTCTCTAGTTTCCCAATTAAATATTAAAAAATAAAAATTTAAACCTCACGAAACTTCCTGATGTGTATTATACTCAAAAGATTAGAGTTGAAGAGACTTACTAAGTTTGATTGTATCCCTCATGAATTTTCTTGTTAAAGGTTTCATTTCAAACGATGTTAACAACAGCCTGAATTTCCTGGCTTCTGAAGAAAGCTTCAAGCCAACATTTCCCCTCTAATGTAACCCACTGTGGGCTTCCATCTCTCACAATGGCCAAGTGGGAATGGCAGCACCCTAGAAATTGCTATTTTCTGGCAGGCTGTCAATCTATCACTCACAACTTTTTTTCAGAAACATAACTTGAAGAAACCGGCAGCTTCAAATGGAACATTTACACTACATCAACAACTCACCTTTCAGATGTGCTCTCTTTACAGGTCAAAACATGACTTTCACCCTAACAGGTCCCAGCAAGTACGAGAAATGAAATCAAACCACCGCCTTTTCTTGCTCAGTACTCTACCACCCACAAGAATTCTAGATTCTAAGATTAAAACTGCAACTTCAGTAAGCAGAATTCCGATGACATAAGAGGAATAACAGAGCACCTTGTTTCAGGCAATGCCAACAGCATTAAAAAACAATAACAAAACATTTATTTGTTGACCCAAAACCAAGAAGATAATTAACAAATTCCTTTCCACAGAACCCATTCTCTGGTCAGAGTACCTGTTAGAGACAATTATGGTTCCTCCACTTCACTACTATGGACTGAACAATTAACTTCTCAGTTCCATTTAGGAATAATATATTCTGTCATGCCCTCAGATAACAGACTACGTACACCAGGAGTAGTCTTTTTAACTTTCCTATTGGTTTGGTAATTCATCCAGAGCTCCAGGCTTCTGCACAAAGAGACCTGCACTCGTCTCCATACTTGTTCACACACCCAAGAATGGCACCTCAGCACAATTCTAGACTTCTGGCATGGGTAAATAAAATATATATGGTAAATGAAGTGATAGACAGAACAGACCCATCAAGAAAAGTATTTCTTCAGATGCTGAAATGTTACAAATAAAGAAAAATCAACAAGTTACTAATGCAGCTAGAAAATGGAGGTTATTATATATTTTAACATAAAGTAACTTGAAATAATTCTGAATTTGTTGGTAACATATAACATAAGGCCAAAAGAAGTCTGTAAGCAGATTAGTAAAATAAAAGTAAATTATAGATTCGTACCTAATATGAAGAAGAAAGAGACACCAGGCTGTCAAAAACAGTATGTGTGAAGCTCTGGACACAATCTGGTAATGGGTTATTTGGCAAGTTATGAAAAAGAATATGAAATTTCAGAAAGCTGATAACAAACTCTCCTGAAAAATTCCAAATCTCTTCTAGAGATTTCACATGAACATCAGATCACACACGTGAAGGATTTCTCCATATATCACAACAAAAGCACCCGCTTTTATAAGAAGCGACTGAGAAGCAGTGTCCTGAGTCAGCAGCAGGTAAAGAAGAGTGCACACTGCCAGGGGCGCACAAGAGTCTACTGGGTGCAGGCAGAAAACACTAGCACTTTCCTCAAGGCTTCGTGTTTATGCCATCCCTAATTTCTATGTTTGCTATGTCTTGTAATGTACCTATCACTTTAGTATAGCGGTATATAACTTAACATACATATGAATTTGCAATAGGGAATTTGTGTTCAAAAACTTTTACTGATCAAGGTGTTTTCCAAAAGGTTGGAGACCACTTTTCTGAAATGCCAATGGGTGCCTCTAATGTGCTTACAGTCACTAGAAACATACAAAACTGCCTTCTAGAACTTTAGAATCATAACACAAATTCGGAGCTCAGGATGAAACAATGTCATTAGACCAGAAATCCTACAATGCAGGTATGAAGAGAACTGAAGAGACACTATAGCCTACAGTTACAGCTCCAGAATTCCAAGCCTCTGATTCATTTTCCCCTCCAAACCTAAGGGACACACAGTATGGAGAAAACTAGAAATTGTGCCAGGCAAACAGATTCAACAGCTAGGCCTGCTTTTTTTGATCTCTAACATAGTTGGAATTCTTCCAGTTAAAAAAACAAATCTGCCCTTTTACTCCACAGGCTCATGGGCTTACTTTCCCCATCAAAATTTGAAAAACAGAATTATACCTATATTTTAACCATCAAAATGTGAAAAAATTAAACCTATATTTTAACTCTAGGAAGCTTAAGGATGACCTTTTGAGGGCTTCTAGATTCTTTTCTTCCATTATGTATAAGTTTTTAAAAATCAGTGGAAGTTTCCACCTTTGAAAACACAAAATATGCCGTAAAGAATATAACAACACAAAAGCACTGTGATAAACCATGAAAAAAAAGATTACTGAAGTCAGACGTGATTTTAATTTTGTATTTTTAAAAATAAGCATATGAATAAGAAAAAAATTATTTTAGAAATTATGTGAAAATGCATCCAAGGGTAAAATAAATGCAGTGGTCTGTTGGCTCAGCGTGGGGCACTGAGCCAACTGTGTGCACCCTTCTCAACTCCAAGGTGTTGGCTTAAGATCAGCCACAGGAGTAGTTTACATCATAGAAATTGGCAAATGCTACAACTTAGGGCTTTTTTATTTCCCTTCAGAGAACCTGGTTGTTAAAACATTTTCCAGCATATGACTGAGTAGATATGGGCCAGAGCAGATGAAAAGCTAAGATAATTACAGCAGATGCCTCAAAAACTCATTCAACCTGCTCCCCTACCTTAACTTAGGCAACTTTTGCCACCAGCATTCATCCTGGCAAAGTGACTAGTGATGGATGCCAGCTCTAGCTACCAAATGTAAACCTCTCCAGTGAATACTGATCTTAAGTGGTATGTCACCTTTTGATGCTAAGAACTCTGCCGCGTGTTCAAAAAAATATGAAGCTGAGACTTTTCCAGGAAGGAGGTAGTTTACAAATAGAATGGTCGGCCTCATACACTTGAGCTAAGGTTGTAAACTTTCATTTAAAAAAAGAAACACCCGCACACGTGCACACGCACACCGAAGCTTCCCCAGATTAGCTGATCTCAAGGAGAAAGCAGATCATCACCCTCCTAAGGCCCACACCTCTTAAGATGCTTCCGGGATAGGGAAGAAAAATAGGTTTATAAACAGAGGACTCCCTAAAACTGCTTCCTAGGACTGAGTTTTAGTGGTGCCCTTGGTTCCCAGATACCCCTGTGCCAAGACCTGTGCCAAGACAATTCATTATCAAAGACATCATCTGTGAAAACAAATCAATGGCTTTTCTCCTTTAATTCAAAAAGATAAAATACTTTTTCTGCTTTCAAAATTTAAAATATCTAGTTAAATCAAGCTATCGATATTTACTTATTTAAAGTACAAAGTGTTAACTAACCTAAGAAAACTATTCCAAAGTGCTGCTGAGAGGTCTAATTGCAAACACATGCGAACTAAATGATTTGATAAGGGGAAAAAGTCCAATATGCCATTCCCCATCACTACTGAACACGACCTCTCACCACCACTATTGCACCTCTCAGGGACAGAACTTCCAGCTGATGACCACAAACGAACGAGCAACAGGTCTCCAACACTACAAATAGAAGGCAGCTCCACGAATACTGTCCCTCGCTACTAACCAACTAGCAGCAGCGTCTTACACTAGTATACAAACTGTACACTGTATACAAACAAATTTAAAGTGAACATTATGCACCTGGAAGAAGCTGGTTTGTATCAGTGTCATTTTGAGCCCTCAAGTCTTTACTCCCTCATTCCATTTCAGTTCATGTGACTCAATTATAGGAACTATTTCTAGGGTTAAAAGACTAGTTTAAAGGGCAGGGTGGTGGTGGTAGCGGCAGTATATAATCTAATTCTGGACTTTAAAGCTAAGTTTTTCAAAAGATTCCACTGTGATGTTGGTATCAATTCAGGGATTGATTTGAGGGATCAACAAATCTGTCTGCACCTTGCATTGATTACCATATGGTAATATTTCATAAATTTGGTAATGTAGAGACAAAGGCCTAAATTTTTCACTACTAATATGAACAATCCAATCCCTACGTATGAGGATTTCCAAGTGAACTCTGTTCCTCCCTAATTAAAAAAATAATAATTCAAAGAAATAAGCACATCTTTACCTTACTACAGATTTGGAGGCTTCACTTTGCTTTTCATCTTCCTAAATTACATCTTTAAAACTATCACAATCTCTAACAACCTTAAATTTAAAAGAAGATAAATATACAGGAGAAAAGGGCGTAAAATAAACAGAAAACATCCTCACACTGAGTATCTTCAAACTGGGAAAAGCCCCACATGTTGTTTCAGGTTATCTTATTCAATCTTTTACTCAAGAGATGCCTCAAAATTTCAAAACCCAGGTTCATCATCCTAAAAGCCATCATTTACCATGCTGTATTCCACGGGTGTGTAATCACATCACCCAGAGAGCAAACAACATTTCTGTGCTAGACATGGGGTCCCATACACTCACTGGCTGTTCCAAATACTATCTTAAACCCCAGGTTTAAAGATCTTCCTATCTTGAAATAGACTAGCACCATGCTCTGATGACAGGTTCAGACAAGATCACACATGTGGCTAAGAGACCTACCCTGAATAAATGTCAATGAGATGCCTTTTTGTGGAGTTGCTTACACAGGTTACATTCACAGCAGAATAGAATCTCCCCAATAGTACTGCTCCAATCTTACTTTGTGTGAATAGGAAAGATTCTTCTCTGTCACTGCTTATGTACAGCTCACTTTTAGTTATTCAACAGAGCACACTTAGTCCTAAAAATATGGCCAATTTCATTTAACTAATACGTCTTTAAATAATATACTCAAAGCATGCTTTTTTTCTTGGCCAAAGAGTTCCAATAAGGCAGAAGGAGTAACTTTGTTCTTAATCACTCTTGCAAAGCATAGCCAGCTGCTAAACCCCACCAAAAATTCCTTTAACACAAAGTTCAAAATATTTAAAAAAAAAAGAAAAAGAGGGAGGTGGAGTTAGGACTCCAATTAAGGCATTTTTATACATAGTCCAATTTGAGTCTTATTCAAAGGAAAACCTAAAAAGGCATTTCAATGAGGAACGGCAAAAATCACAATAGTCTATTATTAGCATTGTGGAACTATCAATTGCTCACTTCAAATATAATCATGTTGAACGTCCCCGCTTCTTTATTCCTTTGTTCTTTCATTCCACAAGTGCATAGGTTATGTTTTCTGTAGATCTGGGGAAAATGGGCCAGGGGTGGAAGGTCCATCCAGGCCAGACAGAGTGAACGGCCCATGACTGTTCAGTACAGAAGGAAACTGAGAAAGAAAATAAAACACATTATCATCCTATTACTCAACCCAACTTTCACTTTCTGTCCCTACTATATTCCCTGAGGCAGAACATGACAGCCACCTGCAGTGGCTCACAGGACAAAGGCAGTAACTGTTTATCATGGAAGAATATGATGTCATAATAAAAACTTTAAAGAAAAAAATTGTTTGTCCTACATGTTAAATACTAACTCTCTCTAGCCGACCCTGATGGAATGGAAAGGACAAACCTATACCTTCCCGCCTATCCTAAGGTATACAGGTTTACATTTAACTTCAAATGAAGGTTTTAGAAAGTTCAGTAAATGACAATATGCGCTTTAGAGTATAATTCAATTATAAAGCAAATCAGACTGTCAAAAAGAGGTCCAGAAAGAGATGCCCATCTATTAATTCTACTTATAACTGGTATAAATAGTTGTAGGGTGCTTATCATAGAAAAGGGTTCCCCATCACATATTCTAGGACCAATTCTATAGGGAGATTCCAGGCTGAAGCTACATGAGCACTATGACTTTGCCTAAGGTCTCAGACCACTCTATAACCCAATTATCTGTTTATGAGAGGCAAAGAAAAATATAAAAATGAAATATGGAAAATTCTCAACACTCCTTCTATTCAATAATTTAGAACTTCTTGCAAAAAAATAATATAGACAAAGAAAGATTTCTTCTTTTTCCTTACCATTTCATTTCCAAAAGAACAAATGAAAAGTTAAATTACAAAATATAAGAAAATCTCCCAGGGAGTCACTGAATAAGGGAATGAATCAACCAGAAGAAAGTCTACAAGTTATCAAGTCTACATGTTTTGGGCAAAATAACGGTTAAAGGCTATAAGGCCTTTCCTAAGATCTTGGTTAAGAGATAATAAAATATTCATTTTAAAAAATGCACATTTAAAGTGCTGATAAATATAAATGCTGAGTGAGGGGGATATGGGAGTATTTGATACAGTATTCTCAAGAGTTTTATTTTTTTTTAATTTTCAGTTAAAAGGCGAAACCTATGTGCAGAGATTCCCCCCACATATATATAAAAACGCATATGTGTTTGCATGAATATATGTGTGTTTTTTTTTCTAAAAAAGATTTCTTGCATTTAAAATGACAAATTGGGCGAGCTCAAAATCTACTTCAGTATTGAACAATTCTTGGTCTAACTCAAAAGTATGTAACAGCAAACAATGAAAAGGACACCGCTGTGAATATTTATCTGTTTGCTGGCTAGAAAATTAACACTTAGAAATTCAAAAATAAATCTAAAGAATATTTATTAAATAGACATTTTATAATGATTAAACTGAAGAGTAGGATCCTCCTGTTTTGCCTCCTTCTTCATTGACTATGCCTCAATTATAAGAGACAGGCTTCTATGTAATTTACCTGGAAAAGAGTGTTAGCACCTTGCAGTCTGGCTGGACTCAGGGGAGCAACAGGGCTAAGAGTACTCCAAAAGTGGATACTGGAGAGCAAGGGGCTCGGAGTCAGTAAGATGGGCGTCTGCAATACACAAAACAAAAATATTCACTAAATGACTTACAAGCATTATGTTCTATTCTTGTAATCATAGACAAATAGCCCTGAACTCAAATATTGTTCTTTTCTCCACTCCAAAAATCTCCAAGCAATTTTACCATGAGGCAAAACTCAGAAATCATTTTGACAAACTAAGAAAGAAAAAGGTCAAAATATTTTCTAACCCGTCTTTTGTAGGTTCTTTCCCAAATGGAAAACTCAATCTGAATTCAGGTACGGAGAAATAATGGGTAACTGAGTCAACAACATATTTTTTCCTTAATAATAAGAAGGTGTGGGAGTAATCTATCTATTTAACTGTTATATGAGGTGAGCAAATTAAGAAATATCTAATGTAACTGTATAAACTTGTTACTCAACATCACACCAGTCACTTTTCTTAAGGTTCTCAGAACCTATTGTTTTCTAACTTGAGATTATCACTGTTTTTCCCATAAGATACCAGTTTTATAAGACCAAAAAAAAAAAAAAAAAAAGAGAGAGAGAGACAATACTTTTATTTTCTTTAGGAAGAAGTGGAAAAACCAAAACATTTATTTCCTCGTAGAACAATGCATTTTTTAACACAATCCTCCAAACCTTTTATTTTGGCAGTCCTAACTAAGGTGAGGAACTGGGTTACTTTCACTGGGTCATATATAACCTTTCTAAGACAAACCTCAGTAGCAGAATGAGAACTTGAGGTTATAAATTCTGGATTTGCTTAAAAAGGTGAGTAAATGCAAATAATGGTGGCATTAAAGAGAAAGTTACCTGTGAAAAAAGTGCTGGCGTAAGAGAAGCTGTAGGGAGAGATGGACTTAATATTCCCAGTGGGCTCGGATCACTGCCTGTGATCACAAGGGTGGGCGCCAGCTCTAATCCTTTAGGCTTCTTGGATCTTGATGAATTATTTGTTTTGTCCTTTTCTAGCAAAAATGAATCCTGGTCTTTAGGCTCCAGTGGCAAGTTCTCTGCAAGTTCCATTGGCTGAGAAGCCACCGAATCGATGTCTGTGTCAATGTCTGGGTTAGAACTCAGCGGTGGCGAAGGTGTTCTAGGAGGCTCCTGCAAAGAAGGGGGCATGGACGAAACAGGAGGCGTGGCAGCAGTTACATTGGATGCAGAGGCTGGGGCTTCCAGGGAAGGCAGTTTGGGGGAAGCCAAAGTCTCCAGCACTTGGACAGTTTCTTCTGAAGATGGAGAAATACTTGGGCCAGTAGAAAAGGCGGCAGCGACAGGTTCAACTGGTGGCTTTTTGGAAGGTGTTGTTACAAATTTGATGACAGATGGTGCTGGCTCCTGAGGAGATTTTTTCTCTGCCAATTTCTCAGCTGGATTCTCAATCTTTATAGATTTGAAAACCTTCTTATTGGAGGAGTTCAAAGAGTTGAGAGTGAAGGAAGAATATAAGCCAGAGTGTATATAGTCATTGCGGCTAGAGGTCTTGGCGCCAGGATGAGGTGGCTTCTCTTTCCCTCCATTCTCCACATCTCTGAAACTGCTGCTGACTTCACTAAAGCTTAAAGCTTCACAGTCTCCCTCAATCCTGCCTACTGTCATTGGATCCATCTTCAAAATCTCTGGGTAAGAGACAAACTTGTACACAAACTTCTGACCATTCACTTTTTTAATGATATTCTGTAGATAAATAAAATAAGCATTCTTATACTTTCTTATAAACTTACCTCCCAGAGCTCAGGAAAAGGCTGACCCAGTGAGGTTCTCTATTTGACAAGCAGTTTACTTAAAAGCTTCAAAATCATCTAAATTTATCTAGCCATACCAAACACAGTCCCTACTATTATGGAGGATAAGTTAAGGCAAGAACACTTAAATGTTTTATTAATAACTGAACTAATATGTTACATAAAAGCTGAAAGATTTTAATTCTTAACACTCTAATATCTGTATTAAGTCAAAAATCACAGAACTGCAATCTCAAATAATTCCAAAGGTACAGCCATACACATCCTGAGAACACAGAAAGGAATTTAGAACAATCCTTCTGCTAAGGTTCCTACTTCCTTCAAAAATTCCAGTTGTTTCTTACCTCATGTCTCCATACAAGAAAACTGGCAAGATTAACCACGGAAAGGTGAAAGAAATTAAGATCTCAGCTTCTCATAATTCTACCCTTTTGAGCCATTTATTTTACCTCAGTGCCCAAAGAATATATTCAAAATAATATGACATTAAACAAAAAATTACCATTTTAACTGAGAAATCAAATCTATGCATTAACAGTTATTCTAAGTATTAATTTGTGTTCTCTGGGTTAAACTAAAAAGTAAAAATTAAGTAAAGCTAAAAAACGTATATAAATGACAACTTTAAAAGTAAATCATGATATACAAAAGAATATTTATTTATCCTCAAGAATCTCAAATTTCCTTTTCCTTATTTCAACCCTATACTCATTTTGTCTTCGAAAACAACTGCAATTAGGAATAAAATGTGTGTAACGGGAGTGGGGTACTGAATAAGAGTTTATAGAAATACAGCTGGATCACTTACATCTTTCATCCTAATTCCAAACTGCTGAAGCTATAAAGTAAACTAGATTAAAATAAACCAAGACATTAATACCTACAACCTCAACAGAAGAGAAACAATTCTTGTTTTGAGGAGGATGTGTATTACCTTTACGTAATAGTATCTGAGGGCTCGGCTGAGTTTGTCATAATTCATATTAGGCTTGTTCTTTCGAATGCCCCAGAGACGAGCCACCTCTTCTGCCTGCAGAAGCTTGAACTCCCCATCATTAGACGTCCAGCAGATCATGTGCTTGTTCTGAGGCTTCTGTAGGAGCTGAAGGAGGAACTGCCACAGGGTGATAGCACTGTCCATAGCCAAGAGCTGAAAGAGGCATGAGGCATGAGATACATAATAATATTAACAGCCAACACTTACATACACTAGATGGCAGGCACTGTTGTAAGTGCTCTAATGTATTACTTCATTTCATCCCCACAACAATCCTGTGAGACAGATTCTATTGCAGTCTCATTTTAAACATGACAAAGACTTAAGTAACCTGTCAAAGGCCACACAAGGAAATGGTGGAGCTGAGATTTAAACCCAGGCAATCTGGATTCAGAGTCCAAACACTTAAGCACACCACGCTGCTTAAAAAAAGCCTTGCTAGGAGAAAACCCTAGTTCCATAAATTATAGAAGCAGACTGATGATTGCCAGTCACTACAGTATCACTGTCATTAAATTTTGCCATAAAAACTCATTGTCGTATTCTCCGAGGAGACCACCATTTTCAGCATCTATCTAAGTCAACCCAGTGGTTTGTTTGCCAAAATTCCTATGTGTACGTGTGTGTCTCAGGGTGCCCTGAAGGTGTAGGGAATAATCTACTTTTGCTCCACTGGTTTATTTCTCCTCCAAATAGCTTCCATTATCATAAATGTAATTTACATATAAATTGACAGCACTGAAAATTCAGCAAAATGTTCCCTGATTTAATTTACAAGTTCTGTCACCATTCTGTCCACAGGGATTCCATCTGCATAGATCCTCCTTTTATTTGATTAGCAACCTTTATTTAATTATCAAGACATGAACTGAAAAATCTTTCAATATCTCAAGTTTTGTGATCTTCTGTTTAGGCCAGAGTTTCTCAACTTCGGCACTACTGATATTTTGGGCCAGATAATCTTTGTTGCTGGAGCCTGCCCTGTGCATTGTAGTTTGTTTAACAGCATCCCTGGCCTCTGCCCACTAAATGCCAGTAGCATCCCCTGGCCAGTTTTGACAACCAAAAATGTCTCCAGACATCACCAAATGTTCTCCTGGGAGAAAAAAATCATCCGGGTTGATAACCATTGGTTTAGGCAATGGAGCAGCAAGGAAATGCTCCTCAAAACTTCAAGACATCTTGTCTGTTAGGAAGAATTCTTCATGGCAAAAAACTCTGGGCAAATACATATAAGCACAACCTAAGAAACCCATAACTGAACTTTACACACACACAAACAAAAAAACCCTCCTTGCTTTATCTGGGAATGAGATCTCAAGGAATCATAACAGGACTTGAAAACAAATTAACTCTATTCCATTAAAATACTACAAAAACAGGTAAATTAGACTACATCAAAATTTAAAACTTTGTGCTGCAAACAATACAATCAAATGGGAAGACAATATTTTCAAATCATAAGGGACTTGTATCAAAAATATATAAAGAACTCTTACAATTAAAAAAAAAGAAATAAGGCAAAGAATTTGAAAAGACACTTGTCCAAAGAAGATACACGAATGGGCAATAAGCACATGAAAAGATGCTCAACATCATTAGTTATTAGGGAAATGAAAGTCAAAATCACCTAAGATACCACTTTACACCTACTAGGATGGCTATAACCAAAGAGACAGACAGTAACAGGTGTTGACTAGGATGTGGAGAAAGTGAAGCCCTCCACATTGCTGATGGGAATGTAAAATGGTATAGCCACTTTGGAAAACAGTCTAGCAGTTCCTCAAAATGCTAACATAGTTACCATATGACCCAGCAATTCCACTCTTAGGTATATACCCAAGAGAAATGAAAATATACGTCCACACAGATACTTGTATAGGAATGTTCCTAGCAGCATTATTCATAACATCTACAAAGCAGGAACACCCAAATGTCCATCAAATGACGAATGGACAAGCAAAATGTAGTATAACCATACAGTAGAATATTACTAGGCCAGAAAAAAGGAATGAAGTACTGATACATGCTACAACATGAACCTTGAAAACATTATTTAAGTGAAAGAAGCCAGCCACCAAAGACCACATATTGTATGACTCCATTTATATGAAATGTCCAGAATAGGCAAACCGATTAGACAGAAGTAGATCAGTGGTTGCTTAGGGCTGAGGTATGGGGGATGGGTGGGAGAAGAATCCAGAGTGACTGCTAATGGGATGATGAAAATATTCTAAACTTAGATTGTGGTGGTGTTTACACAACTCTATGAATTTACTAAAACCACTGAATTGAAGACTTCAAGTAAGTAAATTTTATGGTCTATCTCAATAAAGATGTTAAAAACAAACACTACAAACATTACAAAAGTTAGGCCTGAGAAGCCTAATTACAACAATGAATAACTCACAGAGGATGGGATCCTTTCTTTCTTTTTTTTTTTGTGAGGAAGATCGGCCCTGAGCTAACATCTGCCAATCCTCCTCTTTTTTGCTGAGGAAGACTGGCTGTGGGCTAACACCCATGCCCATCTTCCTCCACTTTATATGGGACGCCACCACAGCATGGCTTGCCAAGCAGTGCGTCGGTGCGTGCCGGGGATCCGAACCTGTGAACCCCGGCCCACCGCAGCGGAGCGCGCGCACTTAACCGCTTGCGCCACCGGGCTGGCCCCAGAGGATGGGATCCTTAAGTGTCAACTATGTTTGCTTCCAAAAAGGGCAGAGATGAGGAACTGTAGTGGAAAATATCTGGGTTTCTATAATTTTTCTGAGACACTCAAAATGTCCTCCAATAATCCTCACAGTTATCATTTTGAAGCTGGTTATACAGATACTGTCGTCCAAAAGTAGAGACGGGAAAACAATAAAGGACAGGAAGGGGCGGGTGCCCCCACAGTTACAGAGTTCATGCAGAAGCTGAGGCCATGAAGCCAAGTCTCCTTCTTCACAGCCATGTAGTCTGCTCATTAGGGAAACCACTTCCCCAGATGGATAAAAGCATTCACATCACCAGATGGTTGTAAAGTATTACGTTAGATACTAATAATCTACAAATATGAGGTGCTACTTTAATGCTAAATAGCCATGCCCACTGGAAATCATAGTTTCCACACAGCCTCACTGAAGCTGGGTTAAAACAGTGGTTTTATATTATATCCATCAAGTATTGGCGGGGGGAGGTGTTCCCTGTCATTTCTCTGAATTTACCAAAGAGCCCTTTCTTCTGATGAAGCCTGTTCACTCCAAGTTACTTGTTAACTACATGTTTCCCATTTAAACAATTATTTGTTAGTCTAAATCTGTTAAAACTACTCTCTAGTAAATTTTAGCTTAACCAAAGAACTCAGTCTCCACACTTCCAAACATCATCTTCATATCAAGAATGCTATTAGGGGTAGAGGTGGGCGGGTGTGCTTTTGCCAGTGAATGAGAGAGTGGAGGAGGAGGAGGAAGATGATGATAATGACAGAAGGAGGGGGAGAAGGAAAGAAGAAAGGAAAGACAGGGAAAAAACTGGAATCTCAAGGCTACTACAAACTTGGTGTCTATAATTCCATTTGTTTTTGGAAAAATTTCCAAAACCAAATCCTAGAGGCTTAATACCTATCATGTAGATAACGCTTGAGCCCTAGATTTATAATGGCTAAGTGGTACATGCAAAAAGACAGAAATAACCATCAACATCTCCACAATGAGCACACAAGTTCCATCCTAAGCGAAGGAGAGGTTCCCAAAAGCACCGGTGTTCCCAAGGTGGTTCGGGTTTAACTTCCACTTTCCCCTTTGGTTACGAGGGGAGTGGCGTGTATTGGGTCAAATTCTGGTGAGCTCTTGGATACTTCAGGGCAAAACCTAACTTGCGGAAAGCGAGGATGCTTCTTCAGGACTTTACAGTGCATCTGGGATAGAAGGTTGAAAGGAAAGAAAAAGGGCATTGTGGTTTTGGACTGAAGTACTGGGAAAGAATTTTCTTTTGTGAAAAATTAACAGACATAAAATGTACATCTTGGGACCGGCCCCGTGGCGTAGCGGTTAAGTGCACACGCTCCGCTGCTGGCGGCCCGGGTTCGGATCCTGGGCACACACCGATGCACCACTTGTCAAACCACGCTGTGGCGGCGTCCCATATAAAGTGGAGGAAGATGGGCACAGATGTTAGCCCAGAGCCAGTCTTCCTCAGCAAAAAGAGGAGGTTTGGCAGATGTTAGCTCAGGGCTGATCTTCCTCACACACACAAAAAAATCTTAAGTGTTTTTTACTAAAAGTATAATGAAGGAGGGAAATACTTAACTGATCCAAATGAAGGAATCTGATTTTTGAGGGGGTTAACTGATGAAAATATAACTACCTTAACACTTCAAAGATAGCAGATTAATCCCTGTGCTGAATTGAAAGAGGGAGCATGGTGAAATAACTTATCAGGGAAAGGAAGTCTCTATTAAATGAAACCTTTTCCACCCTCTACATGTTTATAATACACATAGTCCAGTTGCTGTGGTGACCCCATAGCCCAACTATTTTTCAGAAACAGTAGCTAAGACCCAAAAAAGGTCTCCAAATTCAGCGTGCTGCTTAGATAAAATAAAACCAAATTATGAAATGTATCAAGACTAGCTTTGAATTAAAATCACAGTCGTTGTCAAAAAGTAACCAGGTGTATCTAGCTGCACAGTATCCTATATTGATACTATTAAAAGTATACTATTACATTACAATAAAACTTCAAGACAGTTACCTAAGAATGTGACGGATTCCATTCATGCAGTTTTAATGTTTAAATAAAATCAAAGAGGAGAGAATTCCCGAGGCGGGAAAATTGAATCACACTACATCTTAACGAAAACACCACTGCCAGTCCTAAATACTGACGTACGAAGTTTTTCACGCAGTGGGGTGGTGGGTGGGAGACAAGGGTGGAGGGAGGCTCTGATCCACCAACCAAAGAGATAGGCGAGCAGTTCTGAGGAGGAGGAAAACTCTAGTCTTTACTTAAATGCCCTAAACGTCAAACAGCAACAGCCTGGGAAAAGCCAGCTGTACATCTTGTGACTACTTCAGTCAACAACACCCCTTATTTCCCGCCAGGACCAATTAGTATTCCGCCTCCAAAACACGTTTCCAGTCGCTCTTCCTAGGAACGCAGACACCACC